AACTATATTTTATGAATGTAATATATAGGAATAATTAATATGTATAGATTCTTACATATTTAATCAATTAGAATATAATAATAAGAAACTATAAGAGTTAAGCTATGTACATAATTCCAGGAATCTTTTAAGCAGTGGAGACTACAGGTTTCTAAGCATCCCCAAATTAACTGACACGCTCCAAAGCTAAGGAAGACTAAAGACTCCATGAAAACACTGGAAGAGGTGACTCCTTAAAATGAAGTTTTAATGACTGTGGGGGGGGAGGGGAGGGAGGAAGGGAGGGAGAGGGAGAGAGAGAGAGAGAGAGAGAGAGAGAGAGAGAGAGAGAGAGAGAGACTAGAAATCAAGAAATCAACCCCAGCCCTTTGGCCTTCAGCCTTCTTTTACATGGTCTTATAAGTGTTTCATCATAATGGTCACATGTGTCATTCTCTTTTTTTTCCATTGGTGCCCTGCTTAAAACATACTTCTCACCAGGCAATGGTGGCATGCACCTTTAATCCCACCACTCAGGAGGCAGAGGCAGGTGGCTCTCTGACTGCAAGGCCAGCCTGTTCTACAGAGTCAGTTCCAGGACAGCCAAGGCTACAGAGAAGCCCTGTCTCAGAAAGAAAAAAAATAAAAAAAAAAAGAGACAACAAACATACTCCTCTACCCAATGAATACAGAACTTTTTGCCTGTTTGCTCTTAATGTTCAAATAGTAGACTTCCTAGCATTGTTTCTTCAGCATTACAAGCTAACCACCCCACAAGTGCTTGCACCCTTCCTCCCACCCCACCTAAGGGAGACTAAAGACTTCCTAGAACTTCCATACATATACAAGTCTGTCCCCAAACTAGCTTAATGCCCTATAATGTAGAGCATGTGCTCAAGGGATAGCTCTCAAGCCTAGAGTGTCCTGTAAATCTATAAAAAGTAGTAGTAAGAGAAGAGGTGGAACAAGAGGAGGAGCATCGGTGGAGGCGATAGCACCAAGACCCCAAAAACAGGTGGGTCTCAGAAATAGGGAAATACGCAAAATTACATTCTCTTCTCTTATTTGATAAATTTAGAAGAATTATTTTTTCCTTTAATGAAAACACTTGTTTTAATTTTAAAGCCATTATGGGGCTGCATGAATATATGCAAAATGCCTCACATCTTGGGTGGTATAATGGCTCTATAAAAACAGCAGTGCTTTCTCAATATATATTGCATGTTGGCTGGCATTTATCTATGAAGCCTTTTTTACATCTAAGTTAACAAAACATTTTCACATCAATTATTTCATAGGTTAAAGATAGTTTTACAAGTCAGGTGTTGGTAGCACATGCCTTTAATCTCAACACTCTAGAGGCAGAGGCAGAGGCAGGTAGATCTCTGAGTTCCAGGCCAGCCTAGTCTACAGAGCAACTTCCAGGACAATCAGGGCTACACAGAGAAACCCTTGTCTTGAAACAAAACAAAACAAAAGATATGTATTGCAAAACATTTCTGTCTTACATGGACTTATGTGGGAAAGCATCAATTTTAGTGACTATGTTCTATTGAAGATACAGGATCAATCTATGGGTAAACAATGACACTGTACTGAAACCACAAGAGGGCTCATTTAAAAAGCACAGTTGTTGCTTCAAACAGCTAAGCAAGGGGTTAGCTCACTTGCAGAAATTGCACTAAATTATACATTCTTCTGGGCATATTTTCTTTTAGATTGGTCACAATTCTTAAAAGCCAAACAGTCCCTTAGTCATGGGAGAACTGACATGCAGAACTTTATATGCATTCACTTTTCTTTAAGTGTGCAAAAGCAAAAGTAAGGCTGCCAGAGTAGACAGAAACCAGAAGCTTCTAACTGGAACACCTGAGGGACACAATCCTGGAAGGGCATCCATCAGCTCTGCAGACAAATGCAGAAAGCTCTGATTACAGGTAAGAAGACAACCCCTGCTGTCTCAAACATTTCCATTCTGAACAACAAATATAAAGTAAATAGCATGGAAATTACTCTGCACAATAATGGATGTTATATAAATCCCCTAATGCCTCTTCAGGTTTCAGCGACTGTGAGCCCTTGTAATTCGTTAGTGGCTATTGAGTCTCCACATTTATTAAATGTGGGTGATACACAATACTAAACTACATCCAGTAAAATGCTCAGCCAAGTATCCCTAAGCCTTTGAGTTCTATGAATGCTGTTCTGTGAGCATAATGAGAGAAGGCAGGAGAGAGGAAGAGTCAGAGACCCTGATTAACTTTCAAAACAGCAACCATGACACATTTCAAAGGATGAAATTCTCAAGCATCTGCTTTTAAATGTCTTAATAGTCATTTTTAAGTGACTATTTTATCAAAGGTAGAAAAGGGACAAAGCCCACAACATAAGGTGTGTAGAGGATGTTCCAGATCTGAATTGTATCAGGGTCCATGTTGACTCATCAGTATGGCAAATATAATGTACTAGTTAGTAAATGAATAATAAGGAAAGTCAGTGCATGTGCACGGGAGCTGTGCTGTTTTCACAAGAACTCTTAGGATATGAGACCATTTCAAAATGAAAGGGGCTTTTCTAATCCTCACTATGATTAAAGTGGTTTGGGGTCGGTTTTTTTTTTTTTTCTTTTTTGTCTCTGAGGCAATCAACAACAAAAACATTAAAATTTATGAACAAAATAAAAATTTACAATTCTAACATAAAAAGTATTAAGAATACTATTGCAAATGGAAGATTTGGATGTATATAATTTAAAGTCCATAACAACATAAGAGAAAGCCATGTTGGTGGCACATGACTGTATTAACACTCAATGTTAGAGACCAGCCTAGGCCACATGAGGCCCTGTCTCTAAACAACAACAAAAGTAAACAGGTTCAAAGAAGTTATGCAAATGTTTTGGTTTCATTTTTAGAGACAGGGTTTCTCTGTGTAGCTTTGGAGTCTGTCCTAAAACTCACTCTGTAGACCAGGCTGGCTTTGAACTCAAAGATATCCTCCTGCCTCTGCCTCCCAAGTTCTGAGAGTAAAGGCATTCGACACCACCATCCAGCTTGCAAATGTTTTATACTAAACAATGAGAACCCAAAAAAGTTTTGGGTTCTAAATGGGTATCTAAAATGGGTATCATTTAAAGAGTGTATGATGGCTAATTTTATGTCAACTTGACACAGGCTAGAGTCATCTGGAAGAAGGGAACCCCAACTGAGAAAATGGCTATAGGCAAACCTGTAGAGCATTTTCTTAATTAGTGATTGATGAGGGAGGGCCCTGCCCATTGTGGGTGGTACCATCCCTATAGAAAGCAGGCTAAGCAAGCCATGGGAAGGAAGATAGTAAGAAGCACCCCTCCATGGTCTCTGCATCAGCTCCTGCCTCCAGGTTCCTGCCCTGACTGCCTTCATTGATGGGCTGTTCCCTGGAAGTGTTAGCTGAAGTAAAAAGCCTTTCCACTCTAAGGTGCTTTGGTCATGGTGTTTCATGATAGCAGCAGTAACCCTAACTAGGCCAGATTGTGATTATTTTTTAGGCCATACTCTGTGGTGGTAATGTTGAAGCCTCCATCACTACATAAAGAGAAAACAAACCTGTTTTGAAAATGCTAGGGATTGAAGTGTGTGTCCTCTCCTGGAGAAGCCCTAACCCTCAGTGTAACAGAGTTTCAAGATGGAGACTACGGGAGATGGTTAGAGGTCAGAAGAGTGAGGCACTCACCACGAGGTCAGTGACTCCCAAGAACAGTGCTCTGCCACATGAAGACAGAGCAAGAAGATGAACCAGTACAAGTGAGAAGACAGCAAGGCCTCACCAGAACCCAGCCATGCTGGCACCTTTATCTCAGACTCCCAAGGTTCAAAACACTGAGGCAGTAAGTACACTTCTGCTGCTTAAACCATACAGTATACTGTATTACATTCTGTTATGCAACCCAAGCTATTACCACAGACAGGCATTTCAAGATATGTAAACAGCAATAAACATATCCATTCCTCCCTTTTAAACCAACAATCTTACATCTGAGTTCTTAATTGTTTCCAAATAATTCAAATATAAACAAGTAATTCAAACATATAACAAAGATATATATATATAGATATATAGACATATATAGATATATAGAGATAGATAGATAGATAGATAGATAGATAGATAGATAGATAGATATACGAAAACATACATCACTTAAATCTTTTTTTAGACCTGGGTCAGCCATTAAGAGCACTTGTTGCTCTTGCAGAAGACCCAGGTTCAATCAATTTCCAGTACCTACACTGCCACACACAACTGTCCATAACTCCTGTTCCAGAGGATTCAATGTCCTCTTCTGGCCTCTGTGGGCACTGCACACATGTGGTACACAGACATACACTTGAGCAAAACACTCAACACATAAAAAAAATTTTTTTAAGTTTTTAAAATAGCAATAGCTTAAATGTCTGACAATGGAGAGGTAGCTAACTACAGCATCCTACTTAGTCTAATACTATTTAGCCATTTTAAATTATTACAAAAACCACTCAGGCAAGGCAGTAGTAATATACACCTTTAATCCCAGCAGAGCCAGATGAATCTCTGTAAGTTTGAGGCCAGCCTGGGCTACAGAGTTAGTTCTAGGACAGCCAAATCTACACAAAGAAACCCTATCAAACATACACACACACACACACACACACACACACACACACACACAAGAGCACTCGGGCTAACCATGAAGCTAAATACTACCAAAAGCAACAATCTATAACAAAGCTAATCATATAAATAATACAGATAAATGTAAAATACTTGGCTGGGAAGCATTCTCTTTTATTCAACAATGCAAGAAATAAAACACAGTTGAGAATGTTAGATAGACTGTTAACTCCTTCTTTATAGACCAGTGACTTTTTTGCAGATAGTGGCCACTACTCTCAAAAAAAAAAAAAAAAAAAAAAAAAAAAAAAAAAAAAAACTGACAGACATTTTATACACAAGAACCATCAATTTCTCACTCTAACCTTTTTTATTATATTATTACTTACATAGAGATGGTCTCCAAGGCATCCTCAAAGATGTCCTGGAAAGGAATAAAAACTACAGTGAGTTTTCTTGAGAATGAAGAATTTCGAATGTGAAAAAGAATGAGTCTATGCAAGTGAGGTAGGAAAAGGATGAGCAGGGGCAGAATAACAACTCCTAGCGGAATTCCATTCCCAGAAATCTCTGTGAATTTAAGTGAAATTTCTTTCTCTCTTTCACTATGATTGAGACTAGTAAAAATACTCAGCCTCAGTCAGTCACCTGTTCCAAGAGTGTGGATTGTTGCATTCAGTTGCTTCTAGCCCTCGGTTTCATTCACCTAGATTAGAACATCTACGAGTAACAGGACATGCCTGAATCCGTCTTCACGCTCTCCATGACTTCCCCCAGGCCTTCATCTCAGACCTTCCCACCAATCCTCTGACCCTGAGCTAGGCTAGGTTTCCCACCAACAACACATCCTTTGCTGCATGCCAGTAACTTGCTCAAAAGCATCAATATATTCTGTCCTAGTTATGGTTACTACTGCTGTGATGAAATACTATGACCAACGCAACGTGGGGAGGAAAGAGTTGCTTGGCCTACATTTCCATCACTGTTCATCACAGAAAGAAGTCAGGACAGGAACACAAACAGGGCAAGAATCTGGAGGCAGGAACTGATGCAGAGACCATGGAGGGATGCTGCATACTGGCTTGCTCCCCATGGCTTGCTCAGCCTGTTCTTGTACAACCCAGAACCACCATCCCAAAAGTGGCCCCACACACAATGGGCCAGGCCCTCTCCCATCAGTCACTAATTAAGAAAATGGGGGGGGGGGTGCAGTGGAAGAGCAATGAAAGAGATATATCTTAATAGAGGGAGCCACTATGGGGTTAGGGAGAAACCTGGTGCTAGGGTAATTCCCAAGAATCCACAAGGATGACCCCAGATAAGACTCCTAGCAATAGTGTAGAGGATGCCCAAACTGGCCTACCTCTGTAATCAGATTGGTGAATACCCCAACTATAATCACAGAGCCTTCATCCAGTAATTGATGGAACCAGACGCAGAAATCCACAACCAAGCATCAGGCCTAGCTCTGGGAATCCAGTCAAAGAGAGGGAGAAGGGAATAGATGAGCAAGGGAGGTCAAGATCATGATGCAGAAATCTACAGAGACAGCTGAACCAAGCTCGTGGAAACTCATGAACTCTAGATCAACAGCTGTGGAAATTCCAAGGGACAGAACTAGGCCCTCCATATGTAAGAGACTATTGTGAAATTTGGACTATCAGAGGGGCCCCTTGGCAGTAGGACCACGATACAAACCTGGTATGTGAGCTAGTTTGTTGGAGCCCATTCCCTATGGAAGGATGCCATGCTCAGCTTTAATGCATAGGAGAGGGGCTTGGCCCTGCCCCAACCTATTGTACCAGACTTTGTGGACTCCTCATGGGAGCCCTTAGCCGTAATGGGGGGAGGTTTAAGGGTGAACTGTGTTTGGAATGTAAATGAAATTTAAAAGAATAAATAAATTATAAAAACAAAGAAAAGAAAATGGCAGGCTTGCTGACAGCCCAATATTATAAAGGCATTTTTTCTATTGAGGAGCCCTCCTCTATGACGAGTCAGTCTAGTTTGTGTCAAGTTGACATAAAATTTGCCAGAACATATTCATATATTCATATCTTTCTCCCTCCCTCTGCTTTTCTCTATCCTCTGCCCCCATCTAATGTGCACAATAAAACCTGCACTCAGACACACGCACAAGAGCAACAGCTCCCTCATAGGTGCAAAAGTCAAATGGGAATGCCTCAGCCAGCTACTTGGGATCCCTCCCAAAGAGCATAGTCTCAAAGCATCCTTCTCTCTGCACCCCTACCTGACTACCATGGCCCAAACCACCTCTACAAGGTGCTGACTGACCTCACTGGCCTCCCTGTCTCCCATTCCATCTTCACACAAGAGTCGCCTCTTCTTTCCCTTTCAATACGAAGCACACACCCACCAACCCCTACCCTATCCCCTCACCTTCCTCACCTCCCCCATCCCGTGTAGACCATTTATGAGGTTTCAGTGTGCTGAGCCTAACTCCTTTCCACAGCCATTCAGAGCCCGGTCCTCCTGCCTCTGAGCACACCTCCACCCACCAGCCTCATAGCCATTCCTCTTCAGCCACAGATCTTTCTTTTCAGCTCCTCTAACTAGCGGGGCTCATTTATGCCTCCCTCCAGTATGTCTCTGGATAGCCAGGGCTGACTCTCATCATTTGATTTCACCTCAGAAAGTCATTTCCTCAAGGTTAGGTCTTTGATCACACTAATTAAAGTTACCAAGAATAGCAACTTATAATTTCTCATCATCTGACTTCTTTCGTCCACAATACTTATAATCTGTAATCATCTTCCTTGTTTACTTGGCAAATAACTCATTGTAAGAAAGAGAAAATATCACAATAGCGCTCCTTAGTATTTAAAATACTGTGTGAAAGGAGGAGGAAGCCCCTCCCTGCCTTAAGGTTTGAACACCAGGGCTGCCAGATGGTGAGTGGTGGCTGTGGGAACCTGAATGAGCTTACCACGAAAGCCTCATAACTTGAGTTCTATCCCCAGAACCCACAAAAGGAATAAGAGAAAAAAAACACACACACACACACACACAAAGTTGTTTTCTGACAGTGTGTCCTGACACATGCCCCCTCAGGTTGGCTCTGCTCATACACCATAATAACACAGTTTTTTTTGCTTTAATGTTTTAAAAAGATTTGCAATAACATATAAAAAGCGAGGGTGGAGGTAGTTCAGCTTGTTGAAGCCCACTAAGGTAAGGCCATGAACGTCCTCCCAGTAAAGCATGGCTGATTTTATTTTGTTCATTCTTTCTAAACAGCTCTGTTTTGTGATTTTTTTGGCCAAAAGAATGGGACCTGAGTTGTATCTCTAGCCCTCAATGGTGCCATGGTACATTCTACATTGCCCAAAGATCACAAAGAAATGCTATTTCCTCTTCCCTTTAAAAGTTAAGCCATGTGGGCCTGTCAATCACTTGGACAAGTAAAGACCTTTTAGGAAATCTGTCCCTCACACCTGTAAGATGTTTAAAAAGTAGGTGTGGGGCCAGAGAGATGTTCAACTGTCAAAAGCATGTGCCTCTCCTGCCTAGGACCTGAGTCTGTTTCTCAGCAGCTCACAACCACCTCTAACTCTAGTCCCAAGGGATCTAACACCCTCTTTGGGCCTCTATGGGCACCTTGAATGCACGCACACACTCACTCACACACACACACACACACACACACACACACACAGAGAGAGAGAGAGAGAGAGAGAGAGAGAGAAATAAAAAGGGAGTAACAACTGTCCCCTTAGTGAGATATATACTTTCCAGGCCAGAAGCATGGTCTCGATGCAGCTGCTAGGACCTCCACAGCTTGCTAGCCTGTCTTCTACCCCAAGTTCTGACTGAAGAGCACAGCTTTCTCCTTCCATCACCTTTCGAGACACCAGCAAAAATCCTCAATCAGCTTCACTGATGATCTGGCCGCTCTCACTCTCCATGAACACAACTATCCAGCTGCTTACAAACTTCCATTAACGAGTCTGCCAGCTCCTATGGCCTGTAACTCAAAAGGCTTGACTTTCTCCTACCCACTTTCTCCAGGCTGGCAGCTTGCCTGCCCTGTTTTTTGTTGTTGTTGTTTGTTTGTTTGTTTGTTTGTTTGTTTTCCCTCTTGAACTCCATCAAAACTGCTCTCTGGTTTTCTTCTGTGTCATTTTAAATTCTATTACCTAATGTAAGAACATTATTATATAAGTGAGTTCCAGGCCAGCCAAGCCTACATAGCAAAATTGTGTCTCAAAAAGAGAAAAGACATCAAAGCAAGTGCTTTGTGAACCTGAATTGAACCACAGAGCTCTTAATGTAAAGCTATAAAAGATAGTGCTCCAAAGACCACCTCCAAAGCCACACCTGTAATCTCTCCTAGCTCTGGCAGTGAACAAAATACAACCTTCAGGAGGTTTCAAAGGCTACAAACTTAACTCTCAACCAGAGCAGACTAAAAGGAAGAAAAGAAAAGGGAAGCAGCACGGCGAGCCTCTGACCCACAGGTCTTTAGGTCTGACTTGTAAACACTTGGCGAGAAAATGAGAGCTTTCAGTTAACACAACTCGGCCTCAGGAAAACTTCAAGTCGAGTTTGGTAGCAGAGACTTCTAATCCCAGCACTCTGAGACCTCATCTCAAAACACCACAGTATTCTTAAAACAAAATTCTCATCGTGTAATAGTGGCATCACCTACCTGAAACCCAAGTTTGCCTAAGACGTTTATGACTGAATATACTTTCACACACTCCTCAGAGGCAGCCTCCTAGTGCACTGTTCTCCAGTCACTCTCGGGAAAGCACTCTCACCTGGCTGACCTAAAATTTACTGTGTGGACCAGGTTGGCCGTAAACTCACAGAGATTAAAAGCCACTGTGTCTTGCTTCTTTCTTTCTTTCTTTCTTTCTTTCTTTCTTTCTTTCTTTCTTTCTTTCTGCATTGCTTCCTTTCTTTTCCCTTCAGACAAGCCTTTACTATGTTGTCAAGGCAGATCTGGAACTCTGGCACTCAAGGGGTTTGCATCCCAGGCCACCCCTTCAGCCTCCTAAGTGCTGAGACTACAAGCATTTGGCATAAGCCTTTTGATGCTTAAAACGTCTTTTTTACAAATTACATGATTTTCCCATTTTTAAGTTTATTTTTTTATTTCATTTTGTATCCCAGCCACAGTTCTCCCTCCCACCCCCCATATTTTTTTTTTTAAATCACAGATCTGAATGTAAAAATCTGGGATTATAGGTTAAATCATTCTGGTAGGAATGACCACTTTCTATAAATGTAGGAACTACAGCCAGGCATTGTGGCACATGCATTTAAACCCAGCACTTGGAGGCAGAGACAACTGAATCTCTGTAAGTTCGAGGCCAGCATGGACTACACAGTGAGTTACAAGAGAACTATAACAAAATCAAATGAGTCCATTTTTGCTAAGCAGCTGCTTCATTTTGGTGG